GTTAAGTCCAATCTTTGGAAGCAACATTCGACAGAACAGTCTCACCTCAGAGGTCTTCTGATGCTTTTTCTTCATCAGCCTCTGCTCAATGAAAGATCCTCTTCTTCAAACACTTTAAGGACTTGTCGGTGTAAAGGTTTAGTGTTAGTTCCCAGAATAGCTAGGCTACCTTTAGATGACTTCTCTTTTTATCAACCAAACCTCTATGCTTTACTAACCGTGTTTTCTACCATTTCCTTTCCAGTGTCATCAGACCAGATCTGTGGATACAAATCGAAAACGTGCACGGGAAATTATGAGAGAGAAACTTGATGTTGCATATAAAGGAGACCTCAGTGAAGTCCTTGTGAAGAAGAAAGAGTCTGTGCAGAGGAAGCAAGAAAAGAGGAAGAAAGTAAATGAGAATCTGGAGAAAAAAAGACAATTTAAAGAAGCACTGGCTACAGACTCCAAACCTGGAAATGACACTGTATAAAATGTCTGTGTGGAAAATGGAATGAAGATAAAATTCTTGAATGATCCTGTATGTTACGTTCGAAAAGACTCGACAACAAAATCTGGAAAGGTACTTTTATCAGTATCCAATCCAAGCATCCTTTTATATTGCATCATTCATGCAAAGTTGCAAGATGTGCAATGCAAGACGAAGGGATTTTTAAAATAAAATAAATAAAAACAAAGAACATGTTGCTGTAGTGGATCTGTCAGTGCTTGAAAGAGTCTATTTTATGTGGGTAAATACTCTTGGTTAAAGTATACAAGTAAAGTAAAGTATACGACCTTTAACTGTAGATGTAGGTGTAATTTGACTCAGATGGCTATTTTTAAGCATTTGATGACATTTTTCTCACTCGTTTACCCAAAGTTGTTTGTGATATTGGTCTTATTTCTGAATTCGTCATATGACACTCAAAGTAACATCCTGCTGTTTTGCTTGATGGTGAAAAACAGGTCAAGCCAGCATTATGAAAGTTGCGCCATCTATTAAATAATTTTCACCTCAATTTATCACTAGGTGTCAGCAAAAGCCTTTCAACCCAAACCTCACTGGATAGATATTAAAAACGTGGTCTGTCTTGCTGATCTCCATGCTAGGCAGACAACTGGCTGTTGTCCTTGATTGGGACTTCTCTCATGACTCTCACAATGAAGAAACAGATTAGACACCAATACCAGTTGTAAGGGAAAGAGCTCAGATAAGGGCCCATCAGGTACATTTGTAGTGGCCACACCCAGGTTAAAATGATGCTTTGTTGCTGTGACTGATTGTCATCCACTTATTTTCTATCCTTTTGTTTGCTTAATCAAGACCTTTAGATTAGATTAGATTAGATTAGATATAACTTTATTGATCCCTTTGGTAGGGTACCTCAAAGGCTGAAACAATCAATGACTTCTTCATCATTTCCTAAAACCCATTTGTAGAGACTTGATTTTATGTGATGTCTTTTTTTAAAATCAAAATTACTTTTATTGCCAAGTAGGTTTTCACATACGAGGAGTTTGATGTGGGGTTTTTGGTGCATAACAATGACAACTAATGTGTAAAAAATGTTTTAAGAAAGATTAAACGATTTTAAAGAAGGTGTAGTCTTACAAGTCAAATGAAATCAACAGCAAGTGTAGAAAATCCAAGGAATTAGAAAAGTAATAGAAATATTGCTTAAAAGATTTTCTGCTCTTATTTTTCTAACTATTAATAGGAGTAAGTTGTTTTTTAATTTTTTTTGTTTACATCAGTTGTTTTTAACTTCATTGTTGACTTTATCTCTGTTTGGTTTTACTGTTTATTTGCTTTTGCTTTGGTCAAAACACTTTGTAAACACTTGTTTTTAAAAGTCCTATACAGTTATGGTATTATTATTGTTACAAATAACGTTTAGGACATTTAAAATCCACCTTAAACTATCAAGTACACTTTGTTTCATATCAGCCTTAAATGGGTTCAAGTACTGTCGCTGAGGTCAAGATACGTTTTGCCAAGTACAGCTGAGTTGTAGTGAGTCGCATGCTCGCCTGAGGGGTCGGTGTGTGACAGCATGAGCTGCAGCCAATGAAAGAGCCGTTTTCACGCTGGAACCCCTCCCCTCTGAACAGAACAGCCAATCAGAGGAGCAGAAGCATTTTTAAATCCTCCACGCTCTCTCGACCCGTCTTCGGACTGTGGTCCGTCTCAAGTTTGTTGCTGCAGAAACAGTGAATTGAGCACAACGAGGAGCCATAACTGAAACATTTTGAAGACGTTTTTCGGTTGTATTCTCGGAACTGACATGGCAAAAGGTAAAGCTGCTAATATGTTGTTTGAATAGTTGCATTTAAGTCATGCGAGCTGCAGTAGTATCATTAGTAGACAGCTAATGCTAGTCAGCGCTAACACAGGACCAACTTTGTTTCAATATGCGCAGCTGTTTACTAATAAAACTCGCCGGCTTTTATACAGCGTTGCAGTGTTAGAAAGAGATGTTTGCATTGATTTAGTTCCGTGTTTATAAAGGGAAGAAGACTGTGCTGAGAACCGACAAAAAGCCCGAGGAAACTGTTGAACATAAAGTCACTTCACAGACGGAGACAAAGGAAAACAAGCCAGCAACTAACAAGGTATGTTCTGCTGTGAAGCTTTACACTCATGCAACTAAAGCAGCAAACCGACAAGCTTTATGTCGCATTTTCTTTTTGGTTAAAGGTGCCCCATTGTTAAAATTCTACTTTATTGTGGTTGGCATAAACTTGGAGGTGGAAAATATAACTTATTATACCATGGTCTGGGTGAATACTCGATTCTGATTGGCTGCAGGGTGTCCATTAACAAGTGATATACGACACCTATAAAGAAGTTCCGGTCCTGATTGTTCTAAATTAATGCGCTGACTCAAACGGTAGTTGGTAACCGTGGCAACAGAAACTCAGAACATACGTTAATATACGTTATTTCAGTTTATTTATCACAACGGCAAGACAGCAATAACAGCTGCGGCCGACGGGTTACCTTGGCAACGCGTCACAACGAGAGACATGAAATAGTCCGCTCAGCCGCTTGTTGTGGAAAACTTACGATTTTAACGGTAAAAAACAACATTAACGTATTAATAATTGATTTAATATTTATTTAGTAATATCTTTCGTAAGTGACCATGGTATAAGCGGGATAATGCCCTTCGAGGTGTCCATTATCAGAAATTAATGGACTTCGCGGAAGCAACCGTCCTCCGCTTCGCGTCGGACGGTTCACGCCTCCGCGTCGTCCATTATTTTCTGATAATGGACACCTCGTCGGGCATTATCCCTTACATAGCCTCCCAGCTTTATGAACCATTAAGAACTGTATCCAGTTTCTAAGCAGCAGTTTGGTAACCAGTCGTCATTGAGCTCAACATGTGTGTCATCCTGCCCCCTCACTGCCTGTTGCCTGGACAGCTGCCTCAACAGCCCACCAGGTTCATTTACTTTCTGGAGCTGCTTCTGCTCATTTTTAAAATGTCTCAGCCATGAGAAAAAAACAAACAAACACCAAATGTTCTGCTGTTTAGCTGCAAGAGTGAACACAAGAGTCTTCATGCACTCCCAGCATTTTGCACAACTCATATAGCTAACATTACCACTAGCTTTGTCTGCATGCCCAAAGGTCTGCGGAAACTGTAATGTAGCACATATTTAAAACCAGCAAACAAAAGACTGTGTGGGTTATTGTGTTTTTCATGTCGCCTGTTGTACTTCAGTGCATCCTAACGTCTACCAGTGTTTACATCTGTTTGCTTCTCTCCTGTTCTGTCTGTTTTAATAGAGCCGAATTTCCACTAAAGCTGTTTTCATTTACTTCTGTTTCTGTATGGAGAATGAAATGGTGACAGAAAAACAGCCCATTGAGACTACATGTTAACCAGCAGTCACTGCACCGCACAGTTGTTAATGTCTGCACTGTCAGTCCCAGATGCAGAAAGAGTCTTTTTCCTGATGGGGCCAAGAATTCCTATTTAAAACATCCCTAAAACCTGGAGTAGTCTTAAACTGAACCATCTTTGCAGTGTTTTGTGCTGAAAATTTGAACAAGACATTCTGGCCACATGTGTGACTGTCATTCATTTGCTAAAAAAGGAGCACAATATGGGATCTTCAGTATACTGTCCAACAATTTAATATATATATTTTCTACCAATCACAAATTAAACTGTTACCATGGAGATATTTCATACTCATAGGCTGTGTCCTAACTCACTTCTTGTGTACTAAACCGTGCACTACATGAACTGTTTGCCCTTTTATTTGGGGGTGCACATTTATATGCTGTCACTGTGTGCATAATGATGATATGAGCAAGTGTCCAAAATCTTCATTCACTGCTCATTGTTGGGTGTCCATTATAAAGAGCAGTGAGTGAGCGAACAAGGAGCTGATTTCAGACACAGCCATTGTTGGAGTTGGCAGGCAAAGCAGTGAAACATTTGCAATCTGTTCACTTTGTTTTTCTGTTGGATCCAGCGGGACTGAAGCAATGAACAGTCTTTTTATTCTCAAAAAAATATTCTAAAGAGCTGAACTGAACATGTGCAGCTTGTCTCAACATTTGGACAGCATAATTCTGCAGACAGCGCTACAAAGTGTGGTGTCTCATTTATTACATCTCATGATTTCTTCATTTTTTTTTAACCAATGGAAATAATATTTACTTTTTCAGGACTGTGTGGGTGTAGGTAAAGTGCAGTCAGTTCTCCAGGGTCTACGGAGTCCAGGCAAACCAAGATCCCCTTTGAGCGACAGTTCGAGCATGCTGATCCAGGAAGGAAATGATTTTGATGCAAGTAATCCTGGCACTTCAAAGCAGAACAAAGGTGAGCACCCTATAAAAAATGTTCAATTTACTGATGTAAAATGCTGTCGTTTCTATTGCATGTAATCTCCCAGCTGTTTTGCTGTTGACCTCTCTGTCACCTTCTGGTCAGCAGACACGTGTTTCACAGAAACATTTCCAGTGTGTTTGAATGGGAGCAGTGTTCACTGACCCATCTATCTTATGACACAACTTAACCATGTTCTTGAAGGAGCTTCACTCTCCTTATTGAGGCTAAATGTTCAGGGCAGTTGTTAACTCTTTTTCTCAGTTTCAGTCTTTGTTTCTTTCTCGTTTTAGGCACACCCAATGAAATGACATCTGACAGTTGCGAGTCTAAAGAGCAGCAGTCTGAAGTGGCTTGTCACAGTCATGGGACAAGAGACCAAGCCACTGACCAACCTGAGCAAAAACAGTCCACCACACATGCAGATGTCAGGTCTGCAACTGACAGCAAAGTTCCAGTATCCAAGCCTCGGAGCAGAACTGGTCGCAAACTTGGAGCAAAAAAGTAAGTCCACAACCAACATTCAGTTCCATTTATAAAAAGAACAAAACAGGCTCTTTTACAGCCAGTTGCACAAGCATAATTGCTAATTACTTTGATATTGTCATTGTTTTCAGGATAGAAAATAAAGCTCCCCAAAACAGAAAGGTCACAGACTATTATCCCATCAGACGAAGTAACAGAAAAACTAAAGCAGAGTTAAAGGTTTGTATAAGAAAAACATGCTTATTTGTTATGAGGAGGATTATATCTTTAACAGTTTTTAAAAAAAAATCATGTTACTTTGTGTCAACAGAGTGAAGAACACAGACACATTGATGACCTGATAAAGAACGGCATTGAGGAGGGAATGCAGGTGAGATTTAATGGTTTGATGTCATGTTCCTTTGAATCTGTCACACACTTTATGCAGACATTTGATATTTTCTGTAGGGCAGTCAAAGGCAAAGAAGATTTCTTGTTTGTGACCAATTTGGTATTTACATAGCTATCAAGCAGCTCCCACATCTTTGCTACATCTGTTCAACTTCACACTTCTGCATGTCAACAGGTCAAACACATAGAAGGAAAAGGAAGAGGAGTTTTTGCTATCAAGGGCTTCAAAAAAGGAGATTTTGTCGTGGAGTACCATGGAGACCTACTGGACCTTACTGAGGCTAAAACAAGAGAGGACCAGTATGCTCAGGACCCTCAAACAGGCTGTTACATGTACTACTTCCAGTATCAATCTAAAACTTACTGGTAAGTCCACATCTCACTGCTCTGCAGCCCAAATGACACATGAGGCCAGATGTATAAATGACACTGTTTCACACATAAACTGGTATCTGAAAAATGTAAGGTCTGTACATTATTAATATTTTAAAGAGCCAAATGTGAGTAAGGAGCAGTAGATGAAATATGGGGATGACCTGTAATCTTATAGTAATTTTTTTCCTGATTGTGTATTCATTTGTTTGGTCTGTTTCATTACCAACACTATAAATTCATTATTAGTGATCTTTCTGTTGATAATGATGAGAATTGGCAGAATGAACTTTTACTGCATGGCACTTCCATCCTTGATTTATTTGTTCTTTTGAGGCGTATGTGTAGTTTTAATAAAATGTGGATTTCTGTTTTTAGTTGACAATCTATATTTTTATGTTTCTGGTTCTAGTTCTACACTTGTTGACTGTCTGGAAACCATTATATTTGGGAGTGTACACTGGCACAATTTCTGGAGCTAACTTTGTTATGTCAAGCTATTTTCTAAGACTGAGATTGAATAAGGCAGCGTCTTTAATATCTGTTTTATAGATCAACCGTATTATGATACTAAAGTTTCTCCCCATTGACTTTTGATATTGATAAAGACTTAGTTCCACTAAATAAGCAGCCGCCTAGTTAAACAAAACGCTATGATTTATTGAGATTGCAGGCTTGAAAGTTTTTCTGAACAACTATATCTAGTGTGGATACCTGTACTGTGTTGTACTGACGCGGCTATCTTCATGTATTACAGTGTTGATGCTACAAAGGAGACCAGCCGTCTTGGGAGGCTGATCAACCACAGTAAAATTGGAAACTGTCAGACTAGACTCCACCCCATCGATGGAACCCCTCATCTGATCTTAGTGGCTTCTAAAGACATCAAAGCCGAGGAGGAGCTGCTGTATGACTATGGTGACAGGAGCAAAACCTCAATTTTGGCACATCCTTGGCTTAAAAAGTGAAACCACGACTGTTAACATTTCAGAAGAATTGGTGCTCTCGGCTGTCCATTTCATCCTTATGTAAAAGATGCCATACATGGAAAAAAATGCCTTTTTTTTTATTAAGTATAAAAGTGTTTGGGTTTTAAATAGGGGCTAAAGCTTCAGCTCATGAAAAGTGTATTTTTGAAAAATGTGTTTTTATCATGCTTTTATATTTTTCCTAACTAATGGATTCAAACTTGAAGAGTATTTTTCCTTGAAGTAGTGTTTCACTGTCCATGGGGACTCTTTTGTAAAGAATGAAATTCTGGATATTGTAAATTATTGGTGTGCTTGTAAATTGAGGAATAAAACTGCTGAGTTTTCATTCCAGCTGTGGCATGGTTAATAGTGATGAGGATCTGCAAAACATAAAGCTGAAATTTGGAGCTCTAAGAAGATATCATTCTCAACTGTGACAAGAGTTTAAAACTTTTATTTGATATCTGACAACATAGAAACCAATTAAAATGTGGAGAGTGGCATAAAACATGCACGCTTTGTCTCTCCACGCAGATGTCATATTTAGAGCCATCTGGCAGTGCAATTGGAAGACGCAGCTACTTTTCATTACTTCAGTATTGCAAAACGGTTGCAAGACTGAAAAGCACAGGGGGATACAAATTTCTCTCCAACTGTTGAGAATGTTCAAATGCTGTCTGTCTCTAAGTGTAGCCCTGTGATAGACTGGCAACCTGTCCAGGGTGTCCCCCTAAGTCAGCTGGGATAGGCTCCAGCCCCCCGCGACCCTCGTGAGGATTATGTGGTGTATAGATAATGGATGGATGGATGGTTGCACGCTAGGATGCATCACCTCAGCTCAATCATATTAATCTGCTCGATTCATCCAGTCAAAATTTTTTAGTTTAGAATTCATTAAGACGCTGCTGCAGGACTTTAATATTAATCAACCTCTGAGCAATATTGAAGTAGATACTGCATAAATATCACCAAGCAGAAATACAAATGAACGGCATACAAATAAGGAGCCTATGTAAAGACAATCAAATATAACGGGGAAATTGGTGAAATAATGAAACTATTAAGAATATATTGTGCAAAGCAGATTTAAGATGATGCAATACAACAACACATAGAAGTGAAATGTGCTGATCACTTGCTCTGTGTGTTACTACATGTTCTAGGAGCATGGTAAAACTAGAAAGTTTAGTAAAACGAGGTGGCATCTGCAGCTTAATCAGCTCATTTGAGAGTGTTTGATATGGACACACATTAAAAGACAACAAATAATGTCAAGCAGAAAAGAAAAACCATTACAGGCCTTACAAATCAGTAGAAGCCAGAGTTTATTACACCTTACAGAGAGCGAGGACCACCCAACCTCAGCATACAGCTCATGATGACGAGAATTCATATAGGTAATAAATTTGAATGCTGAGTGATAAATAGTGTCCATGGGCTTAAGAACTGCAGCTGAGGCATGCATGTATAAACTGTTCGTGTTATTCAATACTGTTGCCTCAATCAGTGTCCCTCTACAAGGCAAAAAAAACCCCAAACATAAGTCATTCCCATTTTTAAAAAATACCGTCTTTATCTACCAGTTTGGTCACTTTAAGTTCCCTAAATCCTCATTATTCCGTCTGTCATGTGTGATGTAAAACGATGAGGTGGATTGTGATGTGTTAGCTGGTATTAGTTGTGTTTTCTTTCCACCGACATGAGATCAGAACATACAACAATGTCAAATATCAGACGTTTTTTAAATATTCTAAGCCAGAAAAAATATAATCGCATATTTATTCTTAGATTTTAGGGGGGCACAACGCCCTCTTTTCTATATTTGACAGATCTGAGTGATAGAAAATGTGTTTTACATAACTTGGACCCACGTGGAAACTTCATTTTTGGTTCATAAAAATATTTTTAAGACTATAAATAATTATATTTTGAGTGAAAACATTCAACATGTTCAACACTAGTTAGATAATACTTTCCAGTTTCCTTGCAATATTTTCTTTTCATAGATTTTCTTCTACAGCAACTCTACATGACTAGAAAGCATTGCAGGTTACAATTACCAGTACAAAACATAGTGCTTGTTAGATTGATAAAAATAACTTTCTTAAAAAAAAGAAAACAAAAGAAAACAAAAAAAAGTATAAAAGTGGTTAAATTGTGCCGACAAATCCTGTTTGTCTTCTATATGGTCAGTTCTTGAGATGTTTTTTTTCTCATTTTCGCCTGAATGAAAACCTATAAACAGAAAATGTGAGGAATTAGTTCCAGGAGTTTTTTTCCCCAGTGAGCATTAATATGTAAGCAACTCTGAATCAGACTGTAATTACTGACGGCAGCAGTTTGGCTGGCACACACTCAATTTCCAACCAGCTCTCATTCATTCACTTCTTCACTGCTCACACAAACATCCTCAGCATCAGCATGAAATCATCTGGTCACAAGTATTTCGTTAGGAGACAGGAGACGGGCTGTGTGAACTATTTCCCTGCTGGCTGACTATAACGTCATGAGGTTGTTGCTAAAAATTCTCTCCATTTAAGGTGTACAAGTAAACATGGTTTAAATTAGCTAGAAAGACATGCTTTCACTTCGTTTTCACTGTTTCCTTTGTGCTATTTATGATTGTCTTTGCATGGTTTTATGTGTAAAACAACCCAGAGTGTTACTCACAGTTTGCCTATGGTGGTCTTCTCTTCTTTTGTGTCATTTATCTTAGCTGGACTGGGCTCTGTAGCTGCTGGGGTCTCCAGATCCACTTCCACCATGGCTGGTTCAGCTTGTGGCAGAATCCCACTGTAGGAGAAAGTCCAGAGAATATTTTATGCAACTGTGTCAAAAAAAAGAATGGTGGTGCAATAAATAGAACATAACAAGGTGGAAGATCATAGTTTCAAAACTACATTACATTACAGTGGCAATGAAATGCGAAGCTATTTTAAGCTTTATTACTTCAATGCAGTCTACTGGAGACATGTGCAATATTTGCCTGATTGTGGTGCTAATATTGTTGTGGCTTATTTCAGAATTAAAAAAGGATTGCAAATGATTACCACAAGATACATCTGTGTTTATCCAAAGACTGAATGTGATTCTATGAGTAACATCAGATGAACACTGAACAATATCTGCATACATCCCTTGTATGAGATGCACAAACACTAGTGACAGTAGTCTCTCCTGCTTTAGTTGAATCACCTTCATACAAGAACATGCTGTGCAATTCAGCATGTTCCTAATTTATTAGCTCCATTCAAACAGTCTGCTGTAGCCCTGCACTAAATCCTGCTTTTACAACTGCTAATAATCCTCAGATTTGTTGACTCTGGAGTCTGAGAGGTGTTGATTTAGCTGTATGGTTGTGGCTGTGCAATAATGGATTACATCACTATAAGGTGTTCCTCATGCTCCTGCTGTAGGTCCATGCAGGTGGGCAGCACATGTCCAACATATTTTAATACAATGCACAGTTACAACAGAGATAAGATGATCAAAGCTGAGTCCTATCTCAGAGTGGGCCCCAGATTTGAGATTTCTTACCTCTTGTAGAGCTGCAGCTCCTCCTGAGCCACCATGAGCTGGGCCTTGAGCTGGTTCCTCTCCTGCAGAACCTCCTTCAGCTCCTGCATGGTGAACCGCGGTCTGTTGGGGTCCGTCAGATCCACCACCAGCTGGTTCGGTCCCGCTTTTTGCTGCGGCGGCAGACACGACAAGTATCTCTACAAGTCCACTTCTAATCTGACCAGAAGCTGACTCAGACCGTTAAGAACTCACCGTGCCCTGCCCGGACGAGCCCTCCTGGATGATCCGGTCCAGTTCACTCTTCAAGTTGTCCCGCTCCATTTTCAGCTCCTCCAGAGACAAGTTGTACTTGTTGACCAAAGTCTCAAACATTTCCAGAACGCGGACTATCCTGAACTGTAAATCCGACACCTCTTCACCGCTGCTGCTGATTTTTAACAAATCTCGTCCGATCACGTAGGAAATGTCGTACACATCCTCGACAGTGAGCTCGAACGCGTCCTTCTCGAAAGCCAGAGCGGGCGACGACTCTTCACCAAACTCCATGACGGAACGACACGACTCCTTCAAACACCGGAGAGAAGTCAACTTTTCTCCGCCAGCAGCTACTTTCAATACTTTAAAAACAACACTTACTTTATTTTCTGGACTTCGGCTGAACAGTTTCAGAAAAAGAAGGTAACTAAGTTCCCGAGGAGCCGCACTTCCCCCATCATTCAGCTACCAATGACGAGACTGCGTGGACAGCGGAGGAGGGCAAAGTATCCTAGCGACAGGTGAGCTCAAAGATGGCGGACTACCGAAGAGGACTCACTCCGCACCGACTGTCTGCGAGCACAGGTCTTTGGTTTTAGTGGAGTAAGGTACACACGATGTGAACGTGGGAGTGAGAGCTCTTCTTCTTCTAGTTCTTATCTCAATCAAGGCTTGTCAGAATCAGGTGAAAAAGCACGTGATTTTATGTTTGGTTTCCCCCCCACACATTTTACCCCTAGACTTAGACTTAGATAAACTTTATTGATCCACAAGGGAAACTGTTTCATCACAGTAGCACAAAATAAAATAAATTATATATATATGTGTGTGTGTGAAACAACACACAAACATATGCAAAAATATGCAAAAAATAAAATAAAATAAAAAAGCAAACTGGGGGAAAAAAAGAATACAATATTTGCATTTTTTAATTTTAGTTTTTACCCTGTGCAATATGTATTTTTTTCTACATTGACTAGAACATATGCTTCATAGGTATTTTTCTTCTTAAGTAAAGAAAAATCTGTGCAATATTTCTGAATATATTTCTACTCATGACAGAATCTGTGCATTTAATATATATATATAGTTAGTACTTGTGTATTTCTTGGTTTGTTTGTATTTTTGTAGCATCTTTGCTGCTGTAACCTTGCAAATGTCCCCACAGTGGGATTAATAAACACTTATTTCACCTTTTTTTTGTATTTTTATTAGAGTGAAGTAATCCAGGAAATATTCTATCTAGTAGATTTGTGTTTGTTTATATATAATAGTGACACAAAACCAAAAACTCACACAAGATGAAAAATAAAACTTTATTGCTTCATTCCAAATAAGAATTATTTTATAGGTGCAACCTGGCACATATTTGTAATTATGGCATAATCTATACAGTTTTCAATATACATAATGGGCTGATGATGTTGGACAAAACTGATACGTGATAGTGATATGAATAGCTACAGGATGATTGGGATGATATTTTAGGAGAGTGCTTCATCAAACATAGAAAAATAGTTTTTAAATAAAGTTCAAACAGCCATTTGCAACATTTCTCCTGGTGTAACACTGGCAGAGGCATCCATTATATATATATATTTTTTTGCTTTAGATGACATTTAGATTTGGCTTTGCAATCATCATACAGAGATTTAAACAGTCATATTATCATAACATTTCCAGACAACTGACGTCACATTTCTTTTTGCTCCTGTTCTTGCACATGTGGAGCCTGCATGTCAACAAATTCTGTCTTGTCAATATAGTAAAAACAAAAAAACAAAAAAAATCCTCAAAACCCATAAACAATTACAGTTAATTATGATTATGTTCTAGCAGACACACTTCTCTCGTAGATTGTCCATGGAAAATGAGAACTGTGCAAATTTTCTTTTTCTATAAAGCAGCAAAACAGCTGTAGCATGATGTGTCTGAGTTAACTGGACTGACTTCACATTGCACTGACTGTTACATGTGTGCACAAAGCGATGCTGAAAGTATGTATTGCGCAGACTTAATATTACTATATATTTCTTTAGGAGATTTACCAAGATGTTTTCCTGGTGTAAGTCTTATAATTGGCAGTAATGTTCCCTTTACAATAATTTAGAAGATGACCTCATACAGACACATGATCATCCAGCTCATTTCAGTACACACAGAAACCAGACACTTGAGCAGCAATTTGCCATCAGATGTATAAGATCACCTAAAATAAACTACAAAAGACGTTCAACTTATCAGTCATGTGGCAGATGGACACATCCCTGAAATGATGTCATTATTGAGAAACCGCTAATGAGCTTAAAATGTCTGTGAAAAGCACAGGGCGTATGGTGGACATTCAATTCATGCTTCTGGGAATTCCCTATATTTCAGGTAATACTTGTCAATCTGGTAAGAAAACACTGTATGATATGAAGGGCACTGACATGATTTCTTTTTTTTGATAAGGAAAGGAAACTTGAGCTCGAAACTTTGACATCAGCACGTGCAGCACTATCACAAATGAAGCACAGCTATTTCCTTATTACTTATATATATAAAGTGAAATGCTGAAAGGTTGTGACTTTATGAAGCCGCAAAACCCTGAAAGGTCATAAATTCATTGTCCAGGTGTGGACAGTTGTCTCACATTTAAACTAGTTAGCAAAAATAAAACTAAAATGTATCAGAAAAGTTGACACCAATAAAGAATTTCAAGTATATAAACACGGATTTAGTTTAAAATAAGTGAGTAACGCGGCCATGAAACCAATTCTTGTAAGCAAATTGGTGTTGAGATGGTACTGTTAAAAAAAATAAGAGCACCTTCGTAAGAAGAAATTTAAATTTAAGGTCATATAAAGGAAACAAGTCTTCTGATTGGCAGCAACGTGGGATCGTCTGTGATCAAACCAGCTGCCACCATCGGCATTACGGCAGTGAAGATCCTGTCCAGAGAGGAAAACAGGAAGTGGAGGCACAGTAGGATGGATACAGGAGAGAAACTCACCGTTAGAGAGAAAACATAAAAAACAACTATTTTCATTTGATATTAAATATTATTATAACATGAAAGCATGGCAGTAAAAAGCTGGCCATCCTGACAAGTGCAGAGGTCAGCCTTAGTGCATAAAGGAAAGTGTGTGAGTGTCACGTCAAACTGTTTACTCACAAGCGTCTAATTCCTGACTCAGGCTGATCAGTAGAAGCTGAACATGGTGGAGGAGACGGAGCAGACACAATGGAACTGATGCTGTCCTCAAAGTCCTCACTGAAAGATGTGGAAGAAGTAAACATTAAATTCAGCATCCAAGTCTTGTAAAACTGATTCAAACCTAAAGTTTGTGAGCCCAATCATACCTTTTGTAATACGCCAGCTCTTCCTGGAGCACGAACACTTGGGCTTTGAGTTCATTTTTTTCCTGCAGGACGTCCCGCAGCTCCTGCAGGGTGAAGCGAGGATGGTCTGACTCCTCCTCTGGCTCTGTATCAGGGGATCCTTTCTGCAGGAAAAAACACTCGCTCAGCATTTGTCCTTTTCAAGATGGACACACTGATGCTAATAATGAAGCAGGAACCTCAGAACTGCAACAATCTGAAGTTAAACTGATTTACTCTGATTACCTAAAAATGACAAATGGAGCCTGTGGGCTTTTAACCACTGTTGGTGTTGTAGAGTGTTTTTTTTTTTTTGATGGGCATGTTTCTGTTTTGTTTGTTTGTGTGATCTATATTATAATAGGAGCAGAAGTGCAACATATTTCTGTGATGACAGAAATGCACCATGACAGACAGCAATGTGACAATAAAAGAGAAGAACAACAAGCTGCTGTAAACAGAAACAGTCAAAACATTTAATTCAGCAGGTTTTCATGGCCTTGAAGTGGGAATAGACTCGTTTTGATGCTTTAACTTCTCATTGTAATGTAAATGTTGATTGCACAATGTAATGGTTACATAATGACCACACCATCAATGCTTAGATTGGTTCCCAGTAAGCCTCACTTTCACGGTGCAATTCTGTCTGCCAGCGGTTACTAAATCTCCCCAAAAACAAAGGCTTCATTTACGGCACAAAGGAAGGCATCTGCAGCTGTGTGACCAAAAAAGGAAGAGCATAGTGCTTTTGTCTTCCCCAGTAGCTGTTGGTATCAATGCATATGTAAATGAAAAGAAAAGGGGCCAGTTGTTGGAGGAAGCAAAGAAGGTAAAAGGTAAAACAAGAGTGAGACTCAGATGGGTATTCTCTCAATGGAGAAAGCTTCCAGACTTGAGAGGGTTGAAAACCAACAATCAGTTGACATTGTTTCTTCTAGATCAGTATTTAGCAAAACCTGCTGACATATTAATATAATCACATTTTCTCTTTATCACAGCACTGAGCCTTTTATTTCAAACTTGTATCGTTGCTGTTGTTTCTCACTCATTACTCCTGTTTTCTTCAACTCCCCCTTTTTCTTCACACCAACCTGCTGCCGTTAAAGGAATACTCAAACTTTGTTATCACTCCAGACAAAATGTAAACTATTTCACCTTAAGCGAGCATGCTTCTCCCTTCTCTCCTATTTCCAAAGTGGTACTGATTGTTTTGTTGTAGGTAGGTGTGAGATTCTGAGTAAAACAGACAGCAACAGTAATGCCAACAGTCACACTACTTGGCAATGCGGGTGGAGGGAGATAATAGTTTTCTGTTGTCACTTTAAAAACACAAAGCAGGACAAAGTGATAATGATGTCTGTTTAATGTAAATAGTCTTATAGTGTAATGTAAATACAGTCGTAACTCGCTAATCCACCAGTAAATGTAAAACCTTTTATGTCGGATTGTCAAGACGGAGGTCGAGATACAAGGAGGGCTTGATGCTTGAATGCTCATTTATTGTTAATATTTATTGTTTCTAGTTGCTATAATAACTAGTGTATTGTTAGAACACTACGCATCGCTGGATTTCACGCCTAACTGACCAGTACGCTTGTGCACGTTCCGACCACTGCCACTGAGAGCGCGCCGATGGGGTGGAAGTGGCCAGAACACACAGGTAGTACTTGGCCGCTGATGCCAGTTTAGTTAGTGGTCACACTTTTGTTTCCACGATCGGTGGCAGCAGGGGAGTGTCAGATACGCTCTATTGTACAGCACGCTCACTGTGTGTGACGTCGTCGTGTCCTCTTCTGCGCATGCGGGACACTTTTGGGTCGTATGAAGTTCACACAGCAAATCACATAAAAGTCGCATTTAATTGGAAATGTGACCAAACTCACAAAAAAATTGGATTTCACAAAAAAATCTGAATTGAGCATTAAGTCCTGCAGTCTGAATGTAGCCAATCTGTCACATTGTTCAGTCAGATAATACGCCGTTATCCTTATTTGTGACATAAAATGTCATGTCGGAGTCAGAATCCAAGGCTGTCGGTATGTTAAGGCTGTTTTTAATGGGTTCCGTTCGTTTTTCCTAAAAACCTATCACATAGCAAGGTTTAGGATTGTTAAGGGTCAGATTATCAAGTCACGACTGTAGTCTTAGACACACCAATACTGTAGATATGGGAGAGCGTCAGCAGATGTTACCAGAAACGTTGCTGTTGTGTCGTCATCTCTGCCACCCTCTTCCTCGCTATTCTCTCCGTTCGCTGACCTTCGAAGTGGAGAAAGACTCCTGTCACGCTCAAAGCAGTTTTCCAGGAAGCCTGGGTCTCCTCCACACTCCACCCACACTGAATTTGGTTTAGAAACCTCTGTAGCTGAGGACTGACACAAAGTGGACACTTAGCATCTATAAAAACCCTCCAGACATCATTTTAACATCATATTTTTAGTCGGGTCAAAATAAGGTCTTTTTTTTTTTTACCGGCATGAGTGGTGATAATAGCGAAGACATTTCATCTTTCAAAGAAGGGAACTCTTCTGTCTTAATGAGTTCTCTCTCTAGTTCCCACTCCTGGAGCTCCCTCCTCAGCCTCGTGACCTCCTGCTGCAGAGCACCAAGTTCCTGCTGCCGTGCCTGAGCTGCAGCCTCCAGCTCAGCCCTCTGCTGAATCAGGGTCTTGCCCTGAGCCTCCATCACTCCTATCCTGTGAAGAAGGTCCTGGTTGATCCTTATCAGCCGATGCTGCTGCAGCTGGAGCTGCAGTTGAAAGAATTTGTTTAATGAATTCATTAATTGTGGGAAAAGATAGCAGTTTGTAGACTTCACGTCTTTACAGGTGCCAGTGTTTGTGATGTGCATGGTGTAAATCCTCACCGCTTCAACGTCCTCATTCCTAAGTATCAGCTCGTGATCTTTAGCCCGGATTTCATCTCTCTGTTTGTCCACCAAGTCTTTCAGCTTCTTCATCACCTGTCCTTCTTTCTCCGACATTCCTGTGGTCGTGAAAAAAAACAATCACAGACAACATGTTCACATAGGAAATATCTAACACAAATTCTAATAGCATATTTAACGGTTAAGATTCAACATCAGTGTTTTTCTGTTTAGTCTGTTAAAGGAAACTGTAAATATTCTTCCAGTTTACATTTGTTTAAATAGCAACCATATAAATATTTAAGTATTAAATTAACAAATTCAGGAACATTTATCATGTGAGAAGGATTCTCTCTTAAAATTTAAAAATTAATACACCACCTAAAATCAAATCTTTTCACCTTGTCAAGTTAAAGCAAAGTGTTCATTGTAATCAGAACAAACAAGTTACTTCCATACTACACCAAAACGAACAGAAATGTTGTCTATGTCAGTGTAAAGTTATGCATTTCTCGAGACAAATACTGTGTCAGTGAGCAGAGCAATCATAGCATGCAGCACCCTTTCATTTGTGTGTTTGTATTTTCAAAGCCAGTGTTTGTGTGCTGCAGCCCTGACAGTAAGTGCAGCTGCAGCCACCATTAGTTTCACACAAGAGCTATATTTTGGTCTGCTTCAAAAATAGTCTGCTTTACAAGCTCCTGACCGCCTCTCTTCACGGCCTACTTTTTTCACGTCATCTCACAAGCATGTAGCACATACTGGGCAAACTCACGTGACTGCACGGGGTAAATATGTTTAACGTGTAGCAGACGGTAAATCAGCACAAAGCACTGCTGTACTTGGCACACATGTAGGACATATCAGATCTGCACCGGAACTCCCAGCCAAGACCGAACTAAATCAGTCTCCAGCGTCATGCAGATACTGTACAACCTCCATGCATGGCAACAGATTCAAATACAGCAGAATATAATCCACAGACCACAGTGGGCTGTTATATGATTACTAAACCCTAGACTATGAACATACTTCACATGTTTTGTCTATTCTTGATATTTGCATATTGTATATTAGAAGCTGCGTTACTATTTTCAACAATACATGGCTTTGGTTCATTGACACCGGTGCATTCCTGTTAATTCACTCATCAATATCTACTATAATGACCACACAGAGATGCACCAATCCAATCATTTCCATCCTGATTCTGATAATTCATCGGTATTCACTGTGGATTGGTCAGTCGGTTACATCTCAATCACTTTTTTTTGAGCTGAAGAGACCTTAGAAAGAACAGTTTTTTATGAAACAAATAACCTTAAAAGCCTTCTAAACCTCATCTGTCCAACCCTGGCTGAGAGCTGCTGCTGCTGACGACCCACCCTCATGTTTCTGCAGGTCCTCCTCTGTGATGGGCGACTCTTTGTGGGAGAGGCTCACCAGCAGCCTCTTGTTCTCTGCCTGAAGCTGAGTGATTTGAGAGAGCAGGTCCTGCACTTCTCCTCTCCACACGTCCTCCACCAGCTCCAGCTCCTGAGCACAGCAGATACAGAAGATTTTTTTCTTTAAAAAGAGGGAAAACACCAGAGGCTAGTGTTTGCACAGACTGCTGGTATTTGTTTAGAAAGGATCGATATAACATGAGGGCATGACAGCGTTGGCAGCACTTGAGATTTTATTGCTGCTGAAATCTAGTTTGAAAATAGTCTGCTGTAAGTTTAGACTTACATATGTCTGTATTATTTTCAGGTTTTTAATGATTTGACATTTTTTCACAGATCTATAACATCTTTTGACCCTAGTTAGGGCACTGAGGTCGACTAACCAGATGCTCTTGGATGTTCTGAGATCTAGACACAAAAATAAAGATGATCGAGCCTTCACTGTGACTGCTCCTAATCTTCGGAACAGTTTGCCTTTTCCTACAAGAGCTGCTCAGACTTCAGAGCTTTTAAGTCACTACTGAATGTTTAGCATTCGATCCAAGTAGAGCTTGACACCCTGACTTGTTTGACTTTTTATTTCATTTTTAATTCTGACTTGTCTTCTAGTCTAGTTTAGTTTAACCAGAGATGGCAAAAGCGCTCACATTCTTTACTTAAGTAGAAGTAGAGATACTTGTGTAAAAATAGACTCTGGTAAAAGTAGAAGTGATTCAACTCCTTTACTCAAGTAAAAGGAAAAAAGCACAGGTTCAGAAATTTACTTAAGTACAAAAGTAAAAATGAATTTTTAGCTTCGATGATATGCAATGCCTCTTTTGATAACTCTGCACAATGAAAAAAGTTTTAAGCACACTAAACAGGATTGTTTTTATCCTTTAAGCACAGTGCTGGTACAGAGAAACACATCACTGGTCACTTTTCCATTTCATCAACACTATGAACATTAAACATTATAATCAACATGGAAACACTCATCTCTTTAAGACTACTGAAATCTTTTATTGAGCTTCAGTAGAAGCTGGTTCTCAAAGTTCTTTGGATGAAGATGGGCCCTTTTGGGTCTTAACATCAGTCCTGCAGTGCTAAAAAGCCTCTGGCAGGCCGCTGAGGCAGGCAGGGCTGTGTTGAGCTTCAGTGATAAATTGCACACTGCTGGGAAAGATAAAGACGTTTGTTGTCTTTTACGTCATGTCGTCATCCACGGAGGTTGAAACAAGTAACGAGCCAGTTTTGAGAATGTAAGGAGCAGAAAGTACAGATATTTGTGTTCTAAAGTAGGGAGTAAAAGTAAAAAGTCGTCAGAAAAATTAATACTCAAGTAAAGTACAGACACCGGCAAAATCTACTTAAGTACAGTAACAAAGTATTTGTATTTGGTTACTTCCCTCCTCTGAGTTTCACCGTGTTTTATAGGCTGCTATCTATATTTGTACAGCACTTCAGTTCAACTCCTGTTTCTAAATCTGCTTTATAAATAAACTTGACTTTGACTGTATGACCTGGTTTTGTTGCCAGTTATATGCATTACATTAAATACATTATATGAAGTTGCTTACATGCATGGATGTGTTTAAAGTGCGATAGATTAGTAACATTGTAGGTGCAATGAATCCCACACATTAAAACAGTATTGTGCTTTACTACACTGCACCACCATTAATTTAACTTAATCAAGGTAACAACCAACTGAAAAACTGTTTTATGTCACTCTGGTGCAACATCAGTACATTTAAATCTGTGCGTTATAAATATTTTGCACATTTACAGCATTCTGCATAATATCTTGTACATAATATATTTTTCTGCCAATACCTGCATTTTTCTACATTTAGCAGAACCTGTGCAAGATTTACCTTATTTATTTATGTCTTGGAAAGGACAAAGGATTATCTTATTTTATCTTAAAGGTGTGAGAGATATACAAATGATGCTATAAGGAGTTATTGATCCATCAGTTAGTGATCACCAGAAACTAAATCAGTGACAGTTTTGATAGATTGTTAAGCAGGTTAAATGTTTTTTTTTAATCCTCAAATTTAGCTTTTAATAGTTTCTCCAAATCTCTACAGAAGCGAAATGAGAAATCAAAATCTTTCACTGTAGATCCAACATTATTAATTTACCTTGAAAGGTTACAGTGGACATGGAAAGGTGGCAATCAGCAACACGAACACACACTAAACAGAGGCAGGTAGGCTAACGTGAACACAGACATAAACAGACACACTAACAGCTCAGTGCTCTGAACACACACCGACCTTCTGGTGCTTCCTCTCCTGCTCGTATCGGTCGCTCCGCTCCTGCCGCAGCCTCTCCAGCTCCCTCCGCAGCTCCTCGGCCTCCTGTCCGGCGGCTCCGCGGCTCACCAGCGTCTCCAGCAGCTCCAGCACCCGCACCACTCGGGGCACCACTCCGACCAGAGACTCGCAGCCGAACCGGTCGATGATCCGCTCAAACTCCCGTCCCAGCACCGCCGCGATGTCGTAAACATCCATGACGGTGAGCTCGGCCGCGGGTCTCTCCAGCGCCGACACGCCGCAGGTTTCCATGTCTGTCCTCTGCTTTATTCACACCTGAGACGTTCAGCATATCTCTGTGTCCTCTGACACTCGGAGCAGACTCACATTTAAAGTAGAAAAACGAGTTTAAGCAGACTTTGAGTCATTCGAGCTGCTGGTTGAAGCCCGTCGGATCAACTTGTTTCAGTTTGTTGACAGTTAAAACTTTGCTAACGTCCCGTGCAGACTGCCACCTCTGAGGCTGCGTTCAGGGCCCAAGCAAAAACTCGTTCATATCACAATCAACCGTAATAAATCCCACACTCGGGGGTGATTAAGGCAATAATAAAGGTTCCTTTGCGTGGCTTTTGCCTTGTGTTTTATCTATACAAGCTAAGCAGCTAAATGCTACTTGTGCTACGGTGGACAGAGCTGGCAAGCAAAATATACGTCAGTGTATTTGGGTGGATAGATAGCAACAGTGCGTAATGTCGGCACACAATGACAAATAACAAGAATATAGCATAATTCAAATACAGCAATTTGACTATCATGGAATGATTTCCATGATCATATCAGAAATGGTTCAAAGTCTGGTTTGAACAAATATCCATATTTACGATATGAATGAAGGCAGCAGCTCAATATCCTACTGCGCATGTCAAGATATTACTTAAACGTTAAAATATCCCAACTCTGTATGGCACTTCGGTTACAGACAGACTGTGATCAGCAATACATTAAACAAACTTTTTTTTTAATGTACATGTTACCAGTGTATAAATATAAAGGTTAAGAATGTGACAATATGTATTGTTTCAAAAAAAAATTTCACTTAACTCACGTTATATGAGATTTTATTTTATTTTTTTACAACCTTTATCTATGATTTGTATTGTAATGTTCTGAGTTTGGGGTTTAGGATGTAAATACAATTAACTGGCCTCACAAAATAGTTGTTTAAGTGTTAGACCCACACATTTGGCAAAGAAAGCAACACGGATCCAGATGTTTGTGATAAAATAAAGTTATCTATTTGGAAAGGAGCTTTGGTGTTTGACAAAGCAAAAGTTAGTGATCCAAATTAAAAGAGGGAAAGGGCTTCTGGGTGCTGTTAAATTAAGGAAATAGATACAATGAAAATAGCTTTTAGCACAGGAGTGTTATGTCCCAAAAATCTGCAAGAGCCACATGTCCGGTCTCTTCAACAAAAAGCCAGCCGTCTGCTTTGTAACAATCAAACTGGGAACCATTCAGATAATGCTGTTGTTGCACTGACTCAAATGTGGAACTGTGGAACTGTGCAAATGTGTAGTAGGAATATAATCCGCAGAATAATAATTTCAAAGTGTTATTTTGTGGCAACATCACCAAACTTTTAAAGTTTTTTGTTTGTTATTTGACTGGTGACATCCAGCTTTTATGTCTCAGTGCCAACTGCAGTCATGGCTCTTCCCCCATTCGTTTAGATAGGAAACTGGTCTTGTTTGCATAAAGGCCTTGAATCCTTGAATCCTACCAAGATTGCTGCCAAGCAGTGAAACTTGCCTTTATGGACTTGATCCAGGTTTAAGCCCTGCCTAGTATCCAGCAAGCACCAATAACAACAGCTGTGCATCTGTGGTTTCTGCACCTGTGTGCACATGTCCAAGGGAGCATGATCACGTTTAATGCCTCATTTCCACTACAGACTGTTATTAAAAGTTGGATGTTGCCCCGGTGTCTCAGAAGTAAAGCCAATATGAAAGTACCTTAAACCTGCATTCTTTCTAACAGCCAGCAGAGGGTGACTCCTCTGGCTGCAAAACAAGTCTAATTGTAAGGAAGACTATGAGAAAATGACCCTAGTTCTCACTCTCAAAAAATAAATTTCATGTGTTTAAGGTCTCAGTTGCTAGTGTCAGGACTTACTGAATACAGCATGATGTTTATTTACTGAATTATAGCCTAATTTTGAGGAAAATAGACAATAAATCAGGGTAGTTTTAGGGTGAGACTATTTTGAGATTGACATCAGTGTGTTTAGTGTTGTCATCAGTCAGCTTCAACCCTCACTTGTTATGTCTGGTTTCAATAGGCCAACATGGGGACAGCAAAATGTTAAACTTGAGACTTCAAAACAGTAGTCTACTGGGTCTCCGCTGTCCACAGTTGCATCCACTGGATTGGAGGGCCAGTCTGAAAGATGCTCCAGTTAGGATCCGCTGTGGCTAGAGGTGGCAAAGACCACACTTTAGGAGCTGGAGCTGTTCTTGAGCAGATCACACATGCTAACCTGCATATCAAACACTATAAAGCAACGCAAGACAGCAGGGGCAGAACAGAAGCTGCGGCTGTAGCAATAACATATTTTTACCACAACAGCATTATTCAAGTATGCTATCATTGCTAAAAAAAAAACAAAACTTGGATATGTAACACCTATAATGACAGGATTAAGTAAGACAATCCCACAGTAAATCAAACATTTATTGTTCATTTGTCTGACATTTACACATCTTACAAGGAGAAACCACCAGTATCTTTACTAAAATATATTAATAGATCTGAGTGTATAAAGACATTTCGTCCAGAGGAAAGGACAGAACATAAAAAGATGCATTTTAAGACCCTGTAAGAAAAGCTCCCAGAGGCAAAGAGGACTTGAACACCTTTATATTGTACATTTAACTAACCCTAAATCTTCAAATTCAGCCTAAAAGAAGCGTTTGATAATTAAGGACACCTACATCCAGTATTTGTGTGCGAGCATTAAATCTATCTATATGCTTTAACATAATATTCAGGTTCTCCTCTAGTAAAGGGACATTCAACAGAGTGTAGATATAAATTATACTTTGTGTGAGTTGCAAACTCCTATACAGACTGTACGTACAGGTATTATTGGATGCATCAGTACAGTACATTTAAAAAGGCCTCTGAGACAATCTTGTACTGTTGAGAAAAAGCTGTTTTTCACATAAGAGGAACACTGTCCATCATGAAGGCAGAACTAGAGGTATGTAAAACTTTTGCAGCAATGGACGCACGCGACGTGACTCCCCAGTTGACTGCCCACCAACATAAATAGATTACAGTGTACATTAAGAAAAAAACATGATGTGCTCTGTAACAAACTTCCAAAATAGTGTGCAAAAGGCTGTCCAAAGCGTGATCAGAGCTAACTACAAGATATGTTGTTGATTTTAGTCATTTCAAGGTTTGCATTCTAAAAAGGAGCTGTAGTGTTTAATCATTTAAAAATTTTTATAACTCAGGAAACATACTCTCAAACAGCCTAAAAGTAAATAATTTACCGTTTATGTTGATGCAAAATATTAAAATAAAAAAGGGTTATGCCTTGTTTGTCTTGGGGGAAAAAAAGAAGAGTGGTAAAGACAGCATAGACCCCGCAGGCATCAAGGGTAAAATCAGGCTTCTGGTCCATTTTGGCAAAAAAAAAAAAAAAAGGAAAAACAAAAAAGTAAGGAATGGAAATGGTAAGAAGCAGGATGACACAGAGGATTGTCAGCATGCAACTTAAAGGAACTGTGTGTTCAAAAAAAGGCGATTTTTCTCTTTCTTCATCCAACCTTCCTGCAAAGAAGCCTTCTTATCTTCTGTTCAGGCATTTATTTATACTGCAACATAAAGAAGAACAGAGATTATTTAAGATTTACCAACAAGGCACATCATAGAACCTGATCTTCAACATACACGTGTTTCATCGTTATAGATCCTACCATAGATTTGGGAGGGATGTTGGGTTTCTGGGCCAGTGTAGGTTTCTTTAGGAGAGCAGGCTTGCTGGGTTTCGGTGACATCGATGCAGGATGGACCAGCGAGGAGGTTTCTCCGTTCCCCTCAGAAACCGGCTCTGGTGGAACTCCAGCGATCTCGTAGTGTTTCTTCCTCAGCTCGCCCAAACGCAGACGCTCGTTCTCCAACTGACTTTCCAGCTCAAGCACCTTCACCTAAGAGGCAAAATAACGAGGTGGTTGTCAAAATCCTTGCTGCCAAGTTTGTTTCTTTAGTAGAAGTCATCATGTGAAAGCAGTGGAACATTAATGATATAGAAAAAGAAAACAAATCACATATGCCTTTCAAACCTGACAGAGGGTTTTCAGGTTCAGAGGGTTAAAGCTTTCACAATCCAATAACTTACCTGTGACTCCATTTCTTCTTTTCTTAGCTTGATGAGGGACAACCCAGAGAAGTCCATAGTATCTGCTCCAAACAAGTGCATAAAACAGAAACAGTAAACAGATGCTCAGCAGAGTCTGTGATAAATGTAACACACAAATTCAACCGTGCTCACCTTTGTCCTCCAGGTGCTCCTGGCCCGTCTTCGTCGAGGCCACCACATTAGCTGCCATTTCATTCACATGGCGAGAAGCCTGCTGGAGAACTGTCAGCTTCTTACTGTTGCGATCTGCCTTAACCTGAGCACAGAGGACAGCGGTGGAGTGAGACCAGGTGGCACAGTTCAGATATTAAACCGTCAAAATCAGTCACAGAAACTAATGACACAGGTAAATGTGTTTGTTGCAGTTGCACTGGCAAAAACAACTGTTGCATGAATGAATATCATCTGGGAAATTTACTAAAAAACATGCTTCAGTGGGTCTTCCACCTTAGACAGATGTAAAATGTGATATCCAAATTTTAACAATCGCTTTAATAAAACAGTATTATAGGTGGAATTTTTGACGATTATATATATATTTTTTACAAATTAGACAATTACCTTTGAGGCAGCGACCAGCTGTGCTGTGCTTGCAGCGATCTCATGAGAGCAGACAATCAGCTCTTCATATTTTCCTGTGTGTAGCACCACCTTATCTGCAGACTCCCTGCAAGAACGAAGGTAAAAACATATCAGCACTTCAGTCCACTTAAACACAAAGAGAACAGTTCTGCAGGCTGCCTCATGACTGTTGAGGTGCTACACATAACATTTTAACATCGATAAATCAATGCTTGCAGATTTTACATTATGCATTTTCATATTTTGTGCCTGGGACAGAAGAAGCTCAAAATATGCTAAATAGGGCTGCAACTAACATTATTTTCATTATTGATGGTGGAAAATGTCAATCAGTGTTTCCTGAAGTGTAACCCTCAAATATCTAGTCTTGTCTAAAACCCAACGATATTCAGTTTACTGTCATACAGGAGGAAAGAAACCAGAAAATACTGAAATTTAAGAAGCTGGAGA